TACCAGAAGTCAGCGGGAATTTAATCGACCAAACAAATGACTCGCAGTGAAATTTTTAGTCAGTCAAATGAATTTTGTTGTTGAGGAAATTATGAGAATAAATGAAATTATTTGATTAGTATGATCTAGGACAATTATTAGAATGAAAGATAAAATATACATAACAAATTAATGAACAATATGAATCGGAATTTAAACAACCGACCAGTTGTTGTTAATAAAATAAGTGGGAATAAAATTCTCTTAAAAAGAAAAATGGATGCTTAATTTAAATTCGAAATAAAATTTAAATGAGAAAAACAGTTATTGTTGGATTTATAACTGTCAATAAAGAATTATTAAATTTAAACTTCCCTTTGAATTATTCTTAGTTTAAAAAATTTTATTCAAATATGATCGGAACGGTTTAACTTAGGAAATAGTAATTTATGAAAGGATCTATCTATTCATGCCTGCTGCAAATGCATCGATGATTGGAATGACCAATGTGTAATGGTCAGATCCTGTTGCAGAAAAAATGCAAAATGTCTCTTTGGATGGTACAAAGATTCAGTAGCGCTGTGGATAGTACATTTCCTAATTTTGAAGGTAAACGTCGATGATATCCAAGGCTGAAGGATTGTTTCAGAAAGTCCTCGTATCTCGGGGACATTTTCTATTGGAGTAGCCAATGTAACCATCCTTTTTGTTATAAGCCAAGCCAATGCTTACTATATGGGAATTACATCCATTGTTTGAGTCAGTTCTTAAGTACCAGTAAACTTCAATTCGGTTGCTTTTAAGCATTAATTCAATTTTATGGCAGTGGTTACCAATGTATTTAAAAGTATTCTTGCAATGATTTTACTGGTAGCAAAGAGCACAAAAAGCAAATTGATAGTTCAACAGTTTGACCAGTTGGACTTTTCTCCTCTTTTATTATAAAAGGCGATAGTAAATAACTGTGGTAAATAACTGATAATTATAACTCATAACGAGTTAGTGAATTTTAGAGTAAATGCTTGGCTTCTATTTTGGAAACATTCGTATGGGAATGCTTTCAAGCTTAGGTCCTTAGCAGATTTCATCTATTGTACAGCCTTCAGAGTCTCTTCCGAAGTGAAAGTTACATTCAATTTAGTTTTCACTAGTTCTTGAGCGATGTGTTGAACTGCTGTGTCATTAATTGTAAAACTGTTATTGAAGAAAGATTGGAAATGTTCGGATCATCGGTTTAAATTGAAAGATGGGAAGCACTTGGCCACTGTTTTTGGAACTTCGAAGTGTCTTCTGTGATTACTGAAATTCATGAATGACTGATTCTTTTCTACTCGATTGGTTCTCTAAATGTATCGAAGTTTCTGTTCAAACTTACTGCATGCAAAACGAAAGATTGGTTTTGTTGTAGTATGCTTGGTGAGTAATTCTCTTCTGTGACAACAGCTTCTGAGTTTTTAAGTTGTTTTCATCAAATTTTCAGTTTTCTTTGATGACCATTTTAGGCTTTCAATTGAACATTACAGAATGGCATTAACAAAGTACTTTAAGAGAAGGATCTATGTGGTCTGTAAATCTGGCTTGAAGGTTATCCTGTAACTGGTCTTTTAGCTTTTTGATTTTGATGATTCTTTTTCTTGGAGTACCTTCTCTGCTCAGTTTGGCTTTAAAGTGAAGATTGAGTTTGCATCATACAAAGTGTTTGACCTTCTGCACTCAGATATGATGATGAATCATAATTATGATTTTTTAGCGCATTAAAATATAGTGAACCTATGTTGAGAACAAGGATACGTTCAGGTTAATTTTCTACTGAAAAATGATATTCATGATAATTTGCTACTATTGATAGGAGGCAGCCACTTCAATAATTAAGTTTTTTTTTTTAAAGCTTATTTTATTAGTATTGCTGTGAAATGATCAAACCGAACATGATCAGCACCCAAAAAATGCATATAAAATAATCAATAAAGTTGAAAATATCTATTTTTTTTTAAATGAAGTTATATTTTTAAATAGTATTAGCATTGAATGAAAATAAAATTTAACATTATTAGAACTTATGATTTAAAAAATTTTATTTTAAAAATTAAAAGATACAACAAACACACAAAAAAAAGAAAAATCCTAACTAATTGCTCATTTAATTAAGTGTCAACAAAATAATTCAAATTTATTAGAATTCATTGTAGGCATTTGATTATATAAAAGGAAATGGTGGAATCGATTCGGAATCATCATATCCATATGAAGCAAAAGAAGGTCCATGTCGTTATTCAAATCGAACTCGACTGTCAACTGATAACGGTAAAGTTGACTTACCGGAAGGTGACGAAATGCAGCTTCAAGAAGCAGTAGCAAATATTGGACCAATATCAGTTGCAATTAATGCGAGATATTTAAGTTTATATGACGAAGGTTAATTACAATCAAATTTACAACAAATTTTACTACCATTTTTCGAGACATATTCCTTTCATATCAAAGTTTCATGTTATTCATACCATCGTTTCATTAGATAGCAAAGAATTTAGGTATTTTCACACGTGCTAATTGCTCATCCGAAGAATTAGATCATGGTGTTCTAGTGGTAGGTTACGGAACTGAAGAAGTACGAGGAAAAAATCTCGATTATTGGATTGTTAAAAACAGGTATGAAATTAGTCCTTCATGAATTTAATATTCTCAAATTCAATGCTTCTTAAAAATGAAGTTCGGATGATTACAATCCTCAATTGCTTTTATTTTAAAAAAGTTGGAATAATTAAAGTTTGCAAGGGAAAATATTAACTATAAATAAGTAGAAACTTTATGTCAGTAAAAAAGTAATCATTATTAAAGACTATATAAGCCATTAATTACTAATTGCTAATTACGGTTTATATTTTAGCTGGGGCAAAGATTGGGGTGAGAACGGTTATTTCCGGTTAGCAAGAAATAAAAAGAATATGTGCGGCATAGCAAGTGCAGCAAGTTATCCGATTGTACCGAAAGAAATAATAATATCATTAATGGATTAATTAGAACGAAATATTCTGAAATATTTCCGTTCATAAAAAAAAGAAAAAATAATAACAATTCCCTAAAATATTCCACTAAAATTTCCTATTTATATTTTTTTTCTTTTTTTTTGTATTAGTTGAATCTAACAAAGTTAATTAATCCAATTGAATGTGCTGTTTATTAATTAGAATGATTTATGCAAGAAAATAAATCATAAAGCAAAAATGTTAATTTTTGTTCTATGCACTGAAAAATTTCAATAAATCTTTTCATTTATACGAATATTTTCAATTTTTTTAATTTTCATTTTCTATCTTTTAAGTATTACAATGTATAATATGGAAGAGAAGTGATACTAATTTGAATGCATCCATAACAAACATACAAAGTTTGAAAAAAAAAGTTGATTATTTGTGTTAAAAGCCAACAAAAAAGCATGACACAGTTCAAAATGAGATACTCGAATTATTGATTTTGTTTCCGACTTGAAATATCTTTGTCATTTAACATATAAACAAGATCCTTAACTTTTCTTGCCTTATAAAGTTGTTTTTGTATCCTCGACTTAATGGACAATTGCGCTTTTCACTTGTATATGTAATGGCAATTAGCTAATACTACTTTAGCTAATATATGTTGTCAGATTTGCTTATCTTTAGAAAAAGATGGAAGGACTATTAAAAACTATTTCATCGATAATTTTTATACATTAATCATTTACAGAACCTTTTCAATTCGTTGCAGACATTAATTAAACAAGTATTAGAATTTTTTAGATTAACAAAAATATTTCATCATTTATTATTTCATGTACAAAAATAACTCTGAATTGATAATTCAACATCTAAATCAATGAAAAAGAAATTAATTCACAAGCAAGAATCAAAAAAAAAAAACTTTTATCGTTTTTTTTTTTTTAAATTTTGCACAACCTTCAGTGGAAATCCAGAATTATGGAGAGAATTCTGGAGTAGTTTCGAAACTGTAGTCATTTACAGAATATATCAGATATGCAGAAATTACATTATTTAATTGATACACAAAAATTGGATTAAAATTTTATATTGGATATATGTCTCATCATAATATTTTACGATCACTTCATAATCACTTCGACTACTTAGTTGATTATAATTATCATGGGCAAAATCAAAGAGTATTTAAAGAAGTTTCATGTAAGCTTAATTTTAATTAGTGGTGCTTACTTTGAGCATTATTTAACAAATGGATAGTTTCTGTTATGAGATATGAAGATGTCAAGAATTCTGTCCGTTAGAGTTTTAATTCAGAAGTCATTTAATATCATCAAAATTACTACTAATCCTATAATTTCATTATTGCATTGGGTTTTTTGATTGCTTTCATAATGACATTAACTGAATGAGTGAAAATTAAAATACGGAAAGAAAAATTGCTGAAAAGATCACACTTATTAATCCAAAAATGAAACATACTTAAGTGCTAAATTATAAGTAATATTTATTTGGTTGATTAGCTATTTGTTAAATTCAAAAAGATATTTGTATTAATTAAAAGACAAGGTTGTGAAAAGAAATCATTTCTTTTTTTTTCATATAGAAAGAAAGTGACAAAATGTATGATATAGAAACAAATCAAGATATATTAGAGAACACAAGAGAGCAAATATTTTCTGTAACAAAGAACAAAGAATAACAGAGTGAGCCAACTCTTATATAAAGTAAGTAAGTAAGTTATTTGCATATCTTCGTGAGAGCGGAACGCTTCTTTTAGAATATGATTTTCTTATGAATATTGATTCACGTTATTCTTTTCGTTTAAATTGATTTGCTGAATTAAGCTTGTTGTTTGGAGTATAAATGAGATTAGAAAAAGAAAATGTGAAATGCTTGATGACTGGCGTATGTAGTAGACAAAGCAATATTATAACCAATTTTAAATAGCTTATAAAATTAGTCGTTATTTTATCATCCATAAATAATAGTTTTATCATGTATTTTTTGTGTTACGTAAATGTTTGATAAATTTGCTAATTTTGTGGGATGAGTGCGTTTAGCGGACAAATTCCAGGACATCCGGGCATTTCCGATGTTCTGGATTATTTGAAAATAGATCCTGCAATGCTGCGCATATTACAGAAATATATAACTGAAAAGGAGCAGGTAATTGCTTCCTTTTTTTCTGTTTCTTTTTTTTTTTTTTAATTTCGATAAGAAAGTGCCCAAATTTTAAGAAACATTATAAAATGTAGCTTTTACAGCTTAAAAGCTCGCTCCTAACCCGCTTGGAAGAGGTGAAGAGGAGGTTGGAGGAGCTGAAAGGGCGAAATGCCCAAAATGAAATGGAAGACCTCAGAAAACTTCAGAAACCGGAATTTAACGTGAAAGAGGCAGAGTGGGCTCCTCTGCCAGAAAGCGATGATGAAGCCGAGAAGTGGCCGTCAGGAGCGGACTGGGCCCCTTTGCCAGACGATGAAGCAGGTATTAAGCAGGTATAAGTGTTAGCAGTAGAGGATTAACTGCTTTTGATGCTGCACTAAATGCTGTTGTATAAATGTACCCAAATTTGCTATTATATAAATTATTATTTTCATCGTTTTCAACAGTAATTTTCAACAATAATTGTTAAAGAAATTTTTTTAAAAAAAACAGTAACAAAATTTATTACATGAAAAACAAATCGTTCGAAGCTTTTTATAACAATAGTGATAGTGATAATGTGATAATAAATAGGAGAAAATTTTTGAATAATGATTATTTGATTTTAATGAATAATGAATAGAAAATTATGAATAATAATGATTATATGAATTTAAACTAAATTTCTTTTATTAAATTTTCATTCACCAACTATTCTACATAAGTGGGAAATAATTTGGCTTATTTTCTTTATCTCTATAAAAAAAAAAAAAGAAACTGTTAGTGAACGGAATATCATAAAGTTACTAAAAAACTTTCCGTTTTTTTTTTTTTTTTTTTTAAGGCTTTGCCATTCTTATTAGTGGTTAATTTGGATTCGCTAATCAGTTGTTGATTAATTTAATATGCAATAACACGATGATATCTCGAAAAAAACCATAGCAGATGTTGTAATTCATGGAGTTATTTGTTATTTGAAATATGATAATGTGATTTAATAGATGATTCAACGAAGAATCCGAAAAAAGTATAGATTAAAGTTAATTAAAATTATTGCAGGTTTTATTTACTCTAACGAAGGACTTATCTTTTCTACGGTATTAAACTTATTATAGGTTTTATTTATTCTAGCAGAAAATTTGTTTCTCTTTTTTATGGCTTTTTATTAAAGCTAATAATCTTGAATTGAAATAATATTAAACTATGTTGTAAAAGAACTTAAAGATTTGGATGTTACGAATTTCTAATATTGCCTATTTTAAAAAAAAGAGGGAGGTCTTTCACAAAACAATGTTTACACCTAAAATCTTTTGTACATCATTTCAATCTGACGTTCCCTCGTTATTTGTTCCTTTTTTACTTATATATCACTGTGATGACCTTTTGCCTAACAAAGGATTCATCTTAACCATTCCCACTTTATATATGGAAATACACGACAGAGTTCAATTTATAAGGGTACTCCAATTTATAAAATTTATTGTAGTATTTTTTTTTTTATAAGATTTATTATACAATTTATAAAAAAAATTATGTTGCTTCCATTAACAAAGACTTATATTCCTGTGTTACCCTACCCTATACATAGGTTATGAATAAAAGAGCGATGAATGTAACCTTTCTAGTGAAGAAAAGGTCATCTCGTGCAGATTCATATCAATTTTTTAGCAGCACACCTAATTTTTTGCTTTTATTTCTGATTAAAAAAGTTCTTTTTAATGCAAATCATTTGCGGAGAATTTAACAATATTTCATATCACAGCGTAACGTAAAACATTCCATTTCATATCACAGCGTAACGTAAAACATTCCATTTCATATCACAGCGTAACGTGAAACATTCCATTTCATATCACAGCGTAACGTAAAACATTCCATTTCACATCAAAGCGTAACGTGAAAATTCCATTTCACATCACAGCGTAACGTGAAACATTCCATTTCATATCACAGCGTAACGTAAAACATTCCATTTCACATCAAAGCGTAACGTGAAAATTCCATTTCACATCACAGCGTAACGTGAAACATTCCATTTCACATCACAGCGTAACGTGAAACATTCCATTTCACATCAAAGCGTAACGTAAAACATTCCATTTCACATCAAAGCGTAACGTGAAACATTCCATTTCACATCAAAGCGTAACGTAAAACATTCCATTTCACATCAAAGCGTAACGTGAAACATTCCACTTCACATCAAAGCGTAACGTAAAACATTCCATTTCATATCACAGCGTGACGTAAAACATTCCATTTCACATCACAGCGTAACGTAAAACATTCCATTTCATATCATAGCGTAACGTGAAACATTCCATTTCACATCACAGCGTAACGTAAAACATTCCATTTCATATCACGGCGTGACGTAAAACATTCCATTTCACATCACAGCGTAACGTAAAACATTCCATTTCATATCACAGCGTAACGTAAAACATTCCATTTCATATCACAGCGTAACGTAAAACATTCCATTTCATATCATAGCGTAACGTGAAACATTCCACTTCACATCAAAGCGTAACGTAAAACATTCCATTTCATATCACAGCGTAACGTAAAACATTCCATTTCATATCACAGCGTAACGTGAAACATTCCATTTCATATCACAGCGTAACGTAAAACATTCCATTTCACATCAAAGCGTAACGTGAAAATTCCATTTCACATCACAGCGTAACGTGAAACATTCCATTTCACATCACAGCGTAACGTGAAACATTCCATTTCACATCAAAGCGTAACGTAAAACATTCCATTTCACATCAAAGCGTAACGTGAAACATTCCATTTCACATCAAAGCGTAACGTGAACCATTCCATTTCACATCAAAGCGTAACGTAAAACATTCCATTTCACATCAAAGCGTAACGTAAAACATTCCATTTCACATCAAAGCGTAACGTGAGACATTCCACTTCACATCAAAGCGTAACGTAAAACATTCCATTTCATATCACAGCGTGACGTAAAACATTCCATTTCACATCACAGCGTAACGTAAAACATTCCATTTCATATCATAGCGTAACGTGAAACATTCCATTTCACATCACAGCGTAACGTAAAACATTCCATTTCATATCACGGCGTGACGTAAAACATTCCATTTCACATCACAGCGTAACGTAAAACATTCCATTTCATATCATAGCGTAACGTGAAACATTCCACTTCACATCAAAGCGTAACGTAAAACATTCCATTTCATATCACAGCGTGACGTAAAACATTCCATTTCACATCACAGCGTAACGTAAAACATTCCATTTCACATCACAGCGTAACGTAAAACATTCCATTTCATATCATAGCGTAACGTGAAACATTCCACTTCACATCAAAGCGTAACGTAAAACATTCCATTTCATATCACAGCGTAACGTAAAACATTCCATTTCATATCACAGCGTAACGTGAAACATTCCATTTCATATCACAGCGTAACGTAAAACATTCCATTTCACATCAAAGCGTAACGTGAAAATTCCATTTCACATCACAGCGTAACGTGAAACATTCCATTTCACATCACAGCGTAACGTGAAACATTCCATTTCACATCAAAGCGTAACGTAAAACATTCCATTTCACATCAAAGCGTAACGTGAAACATTCCATTTCACATCAAAGCGTAACGTGAACCATTCCATTTCACATCAAAGCGTAACGTAAAACATTCCATTTCACATCAAAGCGTAACGTAAAACATTCCATTTCACATCAAAGCGTAACGTGAGACATTCCACTTCACATCAAAGCGTAACGTAAAACATTCCATTTCATATCACAGCGTGACGTAAAACATTCCATTTCACATCACAGCGTAACGTAAAACATTCCATTTCATATCATAGCGTAACGTGAAACATTCCATTTCACATCACAGCGTAACGTAAAACATTCCATTTCATATCACGGCGTGACGTAAAACATTCCATTTCACATCACAGCGTAACGTAAAACATTCCATTTCATATCATAGCGTAACGTGAAACATTCCACTTCACATCAAAGCGTAACGTAAAACATTCCATTTCATATCACAGCGTGACGTAAAACATTCCATTTCACATCACAGCGTAACGTAAAACATTCCATTTCACATCACAGCGTAACGTAAAACATTCCATTTCACATCACAGCGTAACGTAAAACATTCCATTTCACATCACAGCGTAACGTAAAACATTCCATTTCATATCACAGCGTGACGTAAAACATTCCATTTCACATCACAGCGTAACGTAAAACATTCCATTTCACATCACAGCGTAACGTAAAACATTCCATTTCACATCACAGCGTAACGTAAAACATTCCATTTCACATCACAGCGTAACGTAAAACATTCCATTTCATATCACAGCGTGACGTAAAACATTCCATTTCACATCACAGCGTAACGTAAAACATTCCATTTCACATCACAGCGTAACGTAAAACATTCCATTTCATATCACAGCGTGACGTAAAACATTCCATTTCACATCACAGCGTAACGTAAAACATTCCATTTCACATCACAGCGTAACGTAAAACATTCCATTTCACATCACAGCGTAACGTAAAACATTCCATTTCACATCAAAGCGTAACGTTAAACATTCCATTTCACATCACAGCGTAACGTAAAACATTCCATTTCACATCAAAGCGTAACGTTAAACATTCCATTTCACATCACAGCGTAACGTAAAACATTCCATTTCATATCACAGCGTAACGTAAAACATTCCATTTCACATCACAGCGTAACGTAAAACATTCCATTTCATATCACAGCGTGACGTAAAACATTCCATTTCACATCACAGCGTAACGTAAAACATTCCATTTCACATCACAGCGTAACGTAAAACATTCCATTTCACATCACAGCGTAACGTAAAACATTCCATTTCACATCAAAGCGTAACGTTAAACATTCCATTTCACATCACAGCGTAACGTAAAACATTCCATTTCACATCAAAGCGTAACGTTAAACATTCCATTTCACATCACAGCGTAACGTAAAACATTCCATTTCACATCAAAGCGTAACGTTAAACATTCCATTTCACATCACAGCGTAACGTAAAACATTCCATTTCACATCAAAGCGTAACGTTAAACATTCCATTTCACATCACAGCGTAACGTAAAACATTCCATTCCTTAAAGAAACGCATTTGTTCGGTAAAACAAAGCAAAAAAAAAGTAAGCAATCACAACAAATCTCTCTCTGATTTGACATCTCTCACAAATCTCTACGAAAATTAATCAAATCTAAGGTAAGCCATGGCATGCAGAGATTGTAAGGCAGAAAATATCATTGGTTAGAGAGTGAGTGTATTTTGCATTGCTATCATTGATAGACAATTTGCCAAATGTTTAGTTTTTGGTTAGTGTACGATGCGTTTATGTTACCTTATCTGGATGCTTTAATGTAAGACCGTGATTGATTTGACACGTGAAATGCGAGTACTACGTCATTTATACAATTAGTAACTTTTCCTTTATCTTTTGTACTCAGTTTTATAGCAACTTGTTTTAATGAATCTATGAGAAGTACTTAAATATTTGTAAAAATTCCACCGAAATTTGTCTAAGTAATATGGTTTGTTTAGATATATGTCATTCTCATCTGCTTATATAGATTTATAAATTAGATAGAAAATGAGAAAGTTTAAGAATTGGAAGAAAAAGCATAAGTTTAAAATTGAACAAGTATTATTGAAGGCGGTGGTAAATATCATAAATAGATGAGATGTAATTTTAAAAGATTATAATGTGTTTAGTTTATATTTAAGGTTAAAAAATTTTTCAGTGAGAAATTGTTACTTTATTAACACTGAACAGTTTGGAATTAGAATATTTTCTCCCAGTATTGTTCTTAGTATGAATATTTTACTAGTTATTGTTGAAGATTTTTCAAAATTCTTAATAATGAGAAATGAACAGTCATAGAAATACGATAAATTAACGGACAGGAAATGATAAATTATTATTTGTAATTTCAACGCATATGCTTCTATTTAAATAAAATAAAATATTATGAATTAAATGTTAGGAATTATAAAATAAAATATTAAAAAAAAAAACAACAAAAAAAACTTTCTTATTTCAACTTCAGTTAAAAATTTTTTTTTCAAATTAAATTCAGTTTAGCATTTTTATGATACAGTCAGATACAACGAATGACGTTTATTATATAAGTGTAACGCATTCTTATATAGATAGTAGTTAAATGAAATTCTTAAGTAAATACTTGAGTTGAGGGGTGTTGCTTTAATATCAGAAATTATTTTAAATATATTTTAAATATATCAGAAATTATTTATCGCGAAAGAACGAAAACTGTAACAAATACCTTGCAAAATTATTGAAATTACGATAAATATGTGAATTATTTGTAATCATTTGCTCTGCAGGAATTTTCTATTTGAAGGACGAACCATTTCTGTATTATTCATGTATAATCAGTCATACGATATTCTTTCAACGGTTGCGTTAAGTTATATTTAATCGTTCAAACAGCGAATCAAAGCAAAGTTTTGCAAATTCAATTAACTCATGGAAGAATGCATCGATTGTCAAAAATTTCTGCCTCTTTCGCTTCGAAGTATTGCACTGATCTAATTTTAGTTTGCGTCATTTTTCAAACCACTCAATTTTGTGGAATTGTGTTTATCCATTTTTTTTTTCACTGTCGTATTATATGTCATATTATATGATAGAGTAATTGGATTACATTCCGTATAAGTCATTTGATTTAAGGGATAAATAATTTTCAACACACCTTTGCCTCATTACACATTCGTTTTATTTTTGACAGAAGAAATAATTTCTAGAAAAAATGATTGTATTGATGGTAGCGCTGACAAAATAGGCAAACGTTTTTCTCGTCCAAATGTATTACAGTTTTCATATGAAGAAAATACAGATGGTATCAACGAGAACGGTAAATGTGGTAAGCCCCTTATTTCTGTCAGTTATAGTCGATGATTTTTTTTCATTTGGAAAATTTAGTGAAGATATTTATATGCTATACCTACAATATGTTCTAGTCGGGGCTACGTATTTATTCACTGCTGCTTTGGTAAATTGTATTTTATATCATATTCACCATTCATTAATGTCATATGACTTAGGATCACATGGCTGATTGTTTTTCATCCTGTACTATCCTCATAGTCAGTTCAGTAGCTTTGTTTATCTTTATCTTTTTAACAGTTTAACACTTCTTTGATTCTTTTTCGCCAATATCTTCGTATTGTTTGCAGCAGAACGAATGTTATCGCGGAGCAAATGTCTTAGATTTGATGTTTTATTGCTATTTCATTACTAGATTAGCAAAACTTAAACTCTTTAAGATACACGATTGCTTCATGGGTTATGGAATACTTGTCATTGTTCTATTTATTTGGGTCAGAATTGCCTAAACCAGTAATTATTACATTGTTCCATTTAAGATGAATGGTACGAAATGGTGACTGCTGTTACGCCACCTATGGATGGAATAGGTGAAATTGATCAGAAAATGAACAATGAAACCAATGATAGAAAAACTGGTATTGTTATCAGTGGTTTGGATCAAATGGATCTAGAGCCAGACGGTGCGGCTGAAATTGAAGCTCTAGAACAGTCACTTACTGCATTGGTGGATGATTTCCGATCAGGAAGAATGTGTGCCTGTAAGTTTAATTTATTTATACTTACCACTGTTTGAAAAATAAGTCAGGCATGGATGTTATTATTTGAGAGATTCTAGTTGATCTAAAACTCAAGTGTGACAATTTAAGGATATAAATTTAATCATTACACTATAGTTTGTTATAAGGAAGTAGTTTTTTGTACAGAAATGCAGAATGTTGAAGCTTCAGTCTTATACTTATTAATTGGCCAAAAGATAGCGATGGAGACCAATTTCTTCGTCAAATCTGGAATTGTGTAGGCTGTTAATAAGTTGAAAGTAGCTTGGAAGTGAATTGGTTTTTGCAATTAGGGAAGTTCTCGGGCTGCTTTTTAGTACCTTTTTTTCTAGTGAGCGAGGAAAAGTTGAAAATGATGCGGAAAGCAAGATCGGAAATGGAAGATTTGACTGCGTTCCATGTCAAACTGCACAAAATGCAGGCTCCGGATTTCTCTACTTTCAGGTTGTTCTTTTTGAATTCACTCTTCGTCACGGTAAAAATCGTTCAAAATTTCTCTTTTAGTGCTGATGGTCAACTTGATGAAGAGTATGATTTGCTTTTCCGGAAACTTGATAAGCTGCATCGTTTTCTGTAAGTTTTGCTAATTTATGAAACTTGTATTTTATAAAATGCTTAAGTCAGAGCATTCGCTACTGAGTCATTGTGACTATTCTGTGTGAATCCAAAGAAAATAATTTTTTCAAGATATAAGTCCTGATTTTGAGGTCTGCGAGTCAGTTCTAAAATTGAAAATGACAAGTTGATATTTTCCATGAAGTGAATTATATATTTGAAACCCAATGTCTAGTTTATTTTAATAGCAGAGCATTATAGATATGATATGTCTTTCCGTGCAAATGATGTAAACAAAGAAAGCAGGATGACAAGTACTTTTGCGGAAGAACAAGACGCGGAAATGGCAAGTGAGTAGTCATAGTCAGTTTTTCAAGATTTCAACAAACTTGCTTTCAAGAAATTGCTTCATTGCTACTTTTTGTGTACACTTATTGTTTAAGAGATTCCACTGTCGTTCGGCAAAAATTTTGTTGAAGCGTATTGTTGTTGTGAATCGGGAGAACGAAATTAAGACAAGAGTGAATAATTGACTATGTAATGTAATTGTTTATAATATTTTTTACAGTTGCAAATGTGACTCATCAGATCGTGAAGTTTCTACAAAAAAAAAGTATTAGTGTCAGATTGGAAGTTGAATTAGTGGTTTATTACTTTAAGTATATATGTATATATGTATTATAAATTTGTTTTAGTCATGTAGAAGTATTTTTATAATACGAAAACAAAATTATTTTATATTGTGAAAGATTTTGATTATTTTGACATTTTCGATGGAGGAAAATTAAGACATTTTCGATGGATATGGTGGTATAGTGAAAAACATTTATTTGTCTCTATTTGAAACATGTGAAAAGTGTCTCTAGTGGTAAAAGATGTGAAAAGTGCTACCCATCTTTTGATCTTTCCATTATTATCTTTGACAGTAATTGAACCCATATAATAAAGGCAACTTTGAGGTAATTTGTACGGCTTAGTTCTCTCTTCGATAAGCAAAGCATCCGTTGGTAACCCGTTTAACTGTTGATTTTCCCTTTGGTATCCGAAAATTTTGCTTTAATTCATCAGAGTATGAGAAATTCCAGCATGATATACTTCTTCATGTTTTCTTTTTGATAATAGATTCAGTAATATGATTACGATTTAGTAAATAGATTGAAAATTGGAGATTACTTTCATTTGTTAATTCGGCATTCTGTAAACGGTTTGTTGGTTTCCATAATTTATCGGTTTCATCACAATATAAATTCCATATTCTAATTTTTTCTTCAATCCATCAGACTGGCTTTCGAATTAATATTTTTTCAACTATCTCATAGTCCTCTTCGTGTAATTTTTATAAGTGGATATTAATTTCAACCACGGCAATTCGCTTTTGAAGCTTAATTTGATCAACAGAAGTGCCCACACTCTTAACATGCAATCGTGCAAGGTATCCAATTACTAAAACGCTTCGCATCTATACATTGAAATTTTACTGATTTAAAAGTTTTCTTTACTTTTTGAATAATTGTTATAATTGCTCTTTTAAATTCGTCGTCTTGATATTTGAATTCCCATTTTGGCTGTTTACTTTTCTCCTCTTCTAGCCACTGCGGTCCTTTCCACCACGATTGACAGTTTTTGAGTTTACTTGATGGAACCGCATTGAACCTATTCCAAAATCTGTCCACTGCTAGGGTTCTCCATCGAAAGTGGGTAGAGATATCTAAGGAAGGTTGATGTTGCAATAGGATGTTGGCGTTGTTGACTCTGTTATTGGCGGTTTAGAAGTTATTTGTTTGATTTCATTATTAATTTCTCTTTTGTATATATTTTCCTTATCTTTCTTTTTCGTTTTGGATTTTTGGGCACATTCTATCCACTGCTTATTTAAAACTTCGATAGAGTCAATGCACATTTGCAGTTGAAGAATTTTTTCATCTATGAGTCGATCTTTGGTTTCGTTAATTTCGAGTCGTTCGTGGTTAGTAGGTAAGGTTGGATCTGAAGTTTGGATATCCATAGTTTTTACCTCACTCAATAATCTTTCTAGACGGTCCTTTACAGGTTTGATACTTTCAATAATAGTAAAAGCCATTGTAATTCTACTCTTCGTCCGGTTCGTGGCACCAAAAATGATTTTGAAGAATTTTTTTTTGGTCAGAAGAGTAGATGATTTAGATTACTTAAGTTCACTTGACTTACTTTAAATTTGTAGAACTTGAACTGAACCTTTTGTTTCTTGTCTACGAACAAGATCAACCCAGATATCGTTTATTTTCTTTACAAATGTGAATTGATACAATATACAGTTCAATAATTGAAACAGCGAAGGAATAAATGGTACTGTTGAGTAGAAGGACGAGGAGACTCACCGATCGTTTCTTTGTTATCGGTTGATTTGATTAGAGAAGAATTTTAAAAATGTATGAAGTGGGCTTGGCTTAGCAGATTAACATTTACAATGAAGAACAATGAAGACAGATACATTTACTATTTGGGGTTTAGATAAAAGATTCACTGCTTTAAAAAAATGGGATATAACAAAGGAATAACGAATTGGTTTATAGTGATGAACCATTAGCTGTCAGTATATTGCTAGTCTAGCTGATTAACTTTAAAATCACTTATAAATCAGATATAGTTTTAAAATGATTGCCAGTGAAAGATTGCAATCAAGTTTTATCAATATCTGTTATCTCCGATACCTCGGAAACCAGAAAGCTATCTCTTGTAGTTTTATAAACATACCTGCAAACAAGGTCCAAGTAGTGTCACCACCAAATATAAGCATTTTTTATAGATGTCTCTATCTTCATATGTACTGAAATGCGTCCTTTTTCGTTCATTCGCTAATTTAAGCACTTAAATTTCCATTTTTAGCTATAATCATTTATGTTAACAAGCGAGAGAGAGAAAGAGAAAGAAGTCAAAGTATATTATCCTATCAAAAATAATGTGCATTGTGAATAATTCCACTATTTGCAAACATAATCTGAATATGATGGTGTGCTGAAAGCTTAGAAATGTAGAAAACTACAATTCCGTTCACACAAATATATATTAGCAGTAAACGTTAGCAGAAATTTATCTTATCTTTCTCTAAAGCTAACAAGCTTACTTTAACTTTCTCCTTTAAGCTTTCTATTTTTAATGCTTTCATAAATTTCGTTTCCCCTTGATTCCTGCAAAATAAAATTGCTGTAATTTGAGGAATTATGAAGTAAATAATTACAAGAAAGAATGTCGATGAATTTTCATAAACCTTATAAATTGATACAAAACCGCCCTCGCCAAGTTTTACAACAACAATCCATGTCCACTACCCGATCCTTTTCATAAAGATATAATAAATAATAACGAACTTTGCTAGAATGACTTTCTCCTTATTACTTTATTGTGAAGAGAAATATTACTTATTAATTACAGAGTATGTTCTCGGTACAATTCAACTGATACCATTTTGTTCTAACTCAATACTACTGTTACAACCTGTACTGAAGAGATTGCAATTTGCGTAGCATGCAACGTGGTTTTCCGCAATAAAAGTGACATCAGATGTTGGTTGGTCTGTGTGGGGAAGATATGTACATGTGACCTACATGTGACATTTTGGTAGCTAGAAATTAAGTCGGTCTGAGCTGTTAGAAAGGAGGAATGAGCTTTGATAAATGATTTGTAATGATTAAGGCAGTTCATTGAAATGTGCACTTCTCGAATTATTGCGTAACACTGTAAACATTTGTTTTTATTGCTTTTGAATGATTAGTTATTTAAATATGCTATTTTTTAAGATAATTAATTGAAGAAACTTGTTGTAATGACTGTTTACATTTGTCCAGAAACTGGAGATGATGGTAATGATGGTAGCGAGCTGAAACCTTTAAGGTAATTTTTGGTACTTTTGTCTAGTTATTCGTAGATGAAAAGTTTCGAAGAAGCAAGATTAAGAAGGCTATGATAAATTGGTATAAACTTCTGGAGTTTTTTGCGTTAAATTAAATTTCGATAATTGACTGCAGGACGCTTTATCAGGCGATGATAATTACTAAGTCTTCCAAAGGTGACTTCTTAATAAGGACAAAGAAAGATGGAAAACAAATATGGGAAGCTGCTTCAAAGACGGCATTGAAGAAAAGTTGGAAACGTTACGAGCAAGCAATGTTGAAGAATGAAAAAGTTGCTGCAAAGGTGAGATTTTTTTTTTTTTTTTTGAAAATATGAATTGAGTAGTTTACTTGTTAGAAAAGATGGTGAGGCGAGGTGTTACTTTAATTTATTAGCGAAAAATGAATTAAAAAATAGCTTCGTATAACAAATATTTAATGAGTAGCGTTGAATAAGTTGTTCGTATTTTTTAGATGTTAGAGAAGGATGCGACAGAAGTGGGAGTAAAAGCAGCCCTTGAAGAAGCCAAAAAAGTGCAAATAGAACTGGACACGAGTCTCTCATATATCACTGGTGTGAAGATTCGTGATCTCGTTAAGCACCGTAATGAACGTGTTTGCATCAAAGGATGGATTCATAGAATGCGTAGACAAGGTATTTTACAATTATTATTCGTTGATTATCACAACTGGTTGTTCAGTGAAACAGATTATTGTTTGAGATATTTCTTTTTTTGTAAAGATTACATATACATTCATAATATATTCGTCTTTGTATATTTAGGAAAGTCATTGATGTTTTTCATCCTTCGAGATGGGACTGGTTTCCTTCAAGTACTACTCATGGATAAATTGGTTAGTTATTTTTTATGCGGTCTAGGATTGATAGAAAAATTTTGATAACAACCAGAAAATAATAATGAGCTATTGATTATATAGATGATACCATTCCCTGTAGAACAAAGAGTTTATTAATTAAACTTTTTTTAGTGCCAGACGTATGACGCCCTCACTGTGAATACTGAATGCACGGTTGAGATATACGGCGCAATAAAGGAAGTTCCGGAAGGTAAAGAGGCACCGAACGGGCACGAGTTAATAGCTGATTTTTGGAAAATAATAGGAAATGCACCTCCTGGAGGTAATGTCCAATTATTTCGTTCATTTTTTTATTTATTTTATCCTATGGTATTGTATTTTTATTTTTTGTAATTGTAATCCATGTGCCGTAAATTAATTTTTAAAATAGAATAATTGAGACTACATATGAAGTACTTTAAACAATATATATGCTTACGTTGGTGATATTTTGAAATATTTTTTTAGATAATCATAGAACTTTTCAGAAAAGAAGTAGAAATTCTTGGTGAATATCTGAAAGGACTTAGAGAATGTGTTTATGGGGAAAAGCTGACAGTTATCATGAGAGCCATCCATATTGCGTACTGTTAGATTTAATCGAGCATAAAAAATATGAAACTTGCTATGTTTGATCATGATATATTTCATCATATACTGATGTATAGTTAGCTTATTTCACCGTACTATTAAGTTAGATTGTTATACACTAATAGAAATAAATAAGAAAATTCTAATTTCGATAGTTTATATTCATTGTAGGCATTGATAATGTGTTAAACGAAGAAGCAAGTGTCGACAAAATGTTGGACAATAGGCATTTGGTTATTCGAGGTGAAAATGCTGCTGCATTGCTACGTTTGAGAGCAGCTGCTACTCGAGCAATGCGGGAACATTTCTATAATGCTGGCTATGTGGAAGTTGCACCACCGACTTTAGTGCAAACGCAGGTTACATATTTGATGAAATGTTGTTTAGGACAATATATGTATATCGATAAAATAATTGAAAATTATCTTTTTCTAGGTAGAAGGTGGATCAACGTTATTTAATTTGGACTATTTTGGTGAACAATCTTTTCTTACGCAATCATCACAGCTCTATCTAGAAACTTGCATTCCCACTCTTGGTGATGTCTTCTGCATTGCTCAGTCGTACAGGTTTGTATGCATTATTCTCATTTTTATACAGGAATGATTTTAAAAAGGCAAAATTTTTAGCGAACATACATTTTTTATGTGTCACCATAATGCGGCGGCGCCAGTTGGTTTCCAGTAATCATAATTATTGTGGAATTTTTTGGCGTTAACGATTAGCAAAATTTTAGAGTGATATTGCCATCTAATAATTAAAAGCTTAATAATAATACTTTATTGTAACTGAAATAAACTTCTCGTTAAGACTACTAGTAAGGAAGAGAGAGAAAGATGAGATTTATTTTATGAATGGAAAACACTTTTTGATAAATTTGAAAAAATTGCAAACTTTATGTGAATGTTATTCGGTTTTTATCAATATTTTTAATTATTCTTATTATTGAGAATGCTTTTTTAAGGGCGGAAAAATCTCGCACTCGTCGACACTTGGCGGAATATGCACATGTTGAAGCTGAGTGTCCTTTCATAACGCTGGATGATTTGATGGAGAAAATTGAAGAACTGGTTTGCGACACAGTGGATCGACTTTTAGCTGACGAGGAGGCAAAAAAATTATTGGAACACATTAATCCGGTTATTTTTTCTCTCGTTTTTGATTTTTTTTTAGATGATATGCTACATTTTTAGCGTATATTTTCAGTAGTTCTTGTTTATATGCTTAAAAAAGTCAGTTGTAATAGGAAAAAAGTTTAAAACATTCGATGAGTATGAACTTCTGTCTTTTGTTTCGATATATTCTTACTTCACAAGGTTAATTTTTTCTCAAAAATCAATAATTATTCTAAAAAACGTATAGTTAATAAGGTTGTTCTTTATTAGAGTTATAATATATGCACGAGGAGTTTTCTTTCACTGATACTTTACGTTTTCCTTTGTTTATCAATGATAATTGCCTTTTATCCTCTTTTTGCAGAAATTTCAACCGCCAGAAAGACCATTTTTAAGAATGGAATACAAGGATGCTATTAAATGGTTGCAAGAACACAATGTTCAGAATGAATTTGGTAATGCTTTTACTTATGGGGAAGATATTGCTGAAGCAGCGGAACGTTTCATGACTGATACCATCAATAAGGTGAGTATTTGCGGGATTATTTTTGGGTACATTTAAATTAGGCGCTGCCGTTTGGAGTTAGAATTTGTAACTAGTTTTAAGAAATTGACTTTCTTGTTCATGTCCAATGTGAAAAATGATTTATTCATTTTTTTGACTATAGCAAGAATATAATAGGAAAGGTATATATTTTGAATAGAATTTTATAGTTCCAGAGATTCGAATTAACAGAAATAATTTTTACTCCTCTTTTTGTTTGTATTTGTGAATTATATTATAGCCTATTCTACTGAATCGTTTCCCGAGCGAAATTAAGGCATTTTATATGCAGAGGGATGCACAGGATAATACCTTAACAGAATCTGTTGATCTTCTTATGCCTGGCGTTGGCGAAATTGTTGGTGGCAGTATGAGAATTTGGAAGGTATATTACTCTCAAAACTTCATTAATAGATATTTCAAAAAAAGGAAATTTCTAGAGTTTTCTTATTCATTTTCTTCGTTTTTTTTTTTTTTTCTCTCGCTTTAACAATTTCTTCGTATATTTTAGTTCGATGAACTATCGAAAGCTTTTAAAAATGTGGAAATTGACCCGAAACCGTATTACTGGTACTTGGATCAACGTTTATATGGCACCTGTCCTCATGGTGGCTATGGACTTGGCTTGGAACGTTTTATTTGTTGGTTAACAAACACCAATCATATTCGCGATGTGTGTCTTTACCCACGCTTTGTTGGTCGATGTGTTCCATAAATATATCATTTGGAAACTTACTTTCTCTCGATCAAGTGAAAGAAAAGGGAATGACATCGTTTAATTGTTATGGTCTGTATATCGTTTTCTGCTTCTCACTGATTGTGATAAGCTGTGTTGTTGAAAAATATTTTATATAAATTATATAAGTTATTGCAGGAGTTGCTTTTGTTGTTATCGCGAAGTTTTTTGCTTAACTTTTGTTTCTCTTGCTTTTTATAATCTAATAAACATATTACATTATATGCTTGTACTTCAGCATATATATAAGAAATGATGAATATTGCAGAAGTACAAAAAAAAGAACCCTTAACTTCTGCTTACGCTGTTATATGTATGCATGAGAATATTTAATTCATACAACAAAATGCAACGATATGCTTAGTTATATAAACCATATTTAAGGTAAAAATGTGCAACTTAGTGCTTCCATTCTGATATCATTTTTACAAGTAATAATCGTTAAGCTGATCTAATAATTGTTGAGATGTCATTTATACAATTTACCTTAAGTACTCTTGATCTCTCGTTCCGAACACAATGAATACTATGAAACCAACAAGAAGTTCAGCATAGTTGTTGTTGATATTCAATTAAGAATCTTTTTTCTGAACAGCCAGATTAAAAAAAAAAAGAATTGTAAACAATTCTCCTTCCGGACTTAAAATTTCAGGAAGGGAATCAGCAAGAGAAATTGCTTTCTAACCTATCTTCCACTCCTTTACTCCTCACTTCCACTTACAAAACATAAATTTCCGTTTACGGTGAAAAAATGAAATCTAATCCGGAAATATATGTGGAACACATTTGAAGATCTCTTCGTCTACTTTTTCGCATCATTTTATAATTTTGGAGCTACAACATTCCTCCTCGATCAAAAGACCAAGGATTTTTCGCAGCTTCCAAAGCCAAAGTCAGCCAGTGATGTTTACTTTGCTGTATGTTGTAAATGCAATGGTAAAGTCCGTTGGTAGATTTACCCATGTTAGAAATGTTACATTGTAGTAGTACTACACAGTAAACATTTCAATCCTATCTAAGTACTTACTCAAACTGCACTCTTCCGTAATATCACGTAGATTCACTTATATACGTGTTCAAAAGTCAAAGATAATTGCAGAGACAATGGAAATCTTCAATACTACAGTAAAATTTATATCAACATGAAAGGATATGATCAACAAATACATTATTCATTGCAAAATTTCCAGCTGGCTGTCAACAGATTAACATTCTTCGTACTGCAACACTCCTTTGAATGTAATCATTCATCAACAAAAGAAAAATTTGAATTTTCATTATTGAAATTTCCAGGTTAATAAAATTCTTTGTTATTAATAAGCAATAAAATTTTTCTTGGAAATGAAAGTACAATACTTAAGTGATGCAGAAATTGAAAAAATTATCAAATTCATTATGCAAACTAATCGAAAATGACATCAAGCGAGAACTTAAAAGTACTGGAAAGCTAAAATTAATGATCAAATTCATTTCTTTGCTTCGCTTACTGAAGTTTGTATTTTATCATTTAGTTACTGTTTAATCATTTATGATTAATATTTGATGCATTTATGGCTATATTGTGGACTCCTTACCAGAAGTTAAAAAATGGTTAGAAAATTCAATATTTTTCTATAATTCAATCAAATTTCGATTTTGCTACTATTTAAGCACCTTAAACTAAAAGCTAAAATTAATAGCAAATCCATTTTTGGGTTAGAAATATTTTTAATTACATAGATTATTGCTTGACTTAGATGTAAAAAAAATCGTACTGCATCATTTCGTTAACATTTTATAATTTATAATCGATATTTCAAGTAATTTATAGCATTATTGCACATCGACTGTCAAGCAAAATCCCAGATAAATTTAAGTATTTATAATTCTCATCGAATTTTCCAAACACATTAATTTTAGATCGAAAAAAAAACTGATGTGAATAAACAAATTCACTTTTTTATTTGAAATATATTTACTTACATCGATTTATCGCTTCATTTAAGATTTAAAAATTTGTGATTTATCATTATGCTATAAACTTCCGAAAAAGGCATTAATAATATAACAATTAAACGATAAAAAGCTCAAATTTAAAATTGAAAAATTATTTATGCACCAATTAATGCAATTTTCTGTTTTTGTAAAATTTTATAAATTTATTTTTCAAATTCGATGAAAAGAAATTGCAGTCTAATTGTCAGACCTGCCTAATTCATTGGCATGTGATATATATGTATGTCGGTCGGGCTGATAATTCTGGTTAAAGAAATATTTGGCTAAATTTTTATGTTAAAGATATTCCTGGCCAATTTGTACGGAAATTATGGACCAGAATTACTTTAAATTTTTACCTGTTTTATTTTTGGTTTTCTTTACTTTTTTTTGCTCCATGTGGAGTCAACCAAGTCAAGTTATTTGTATTTTTTCATATTTTTCGTTCTAAATTTTTGATTTCTAAATTTAGCCATTTTTGAACCAAGATTTTTTTCTTCTTGTTTCATCTTCTTCTTTTTATGAACGATTTATTTTTGCATTCTGTTACTAATTTTTCGTGACTTCATATTCATTGTGCCAAAGCATCAATTTCTTTAAACGTTGTAAATAACCAAAATTACAAACGATTAACTCGTTGAAAACAGGTTAATATCATTTAAACTACTTATCAATTGTATTTAAATCAGAAATGTTCGTAAAAAATAAACTATTCAAGTAATGGAAGGATTTCTCAATATATAAAAAGTATTTCAATTTTATTAAATTGAAATACAAAGTATTACTATTCAAAATGTATACAGTAATTGAAAAAAGAGGAAAACTATGTTACCCATAGAGATTTTTGTTCATACTAGAACTTATTGATATTACAAGAATTCATATAAAGACAAATCTACAGCTGTGATGAAATTTGAATTAACTTTTTGGTCTGAAGAGTAGATGATTTAGGTTAGTTAAATTTACTTGACTTACTTTAGGTTTGTAGAACTTGAACTGAACCTTTTGTTTCTTATCTACGAGCAAGATCAACCCAGATATCATTTACTTTCTTTATAAATGTGAATCGATATAATATACAGTCGAATAATTGAAAGAATGAAGGAATAAATGGTACTGTTGAGTAGGAGGACGAGAAGACTGCCATCGATCGTTTCTTTGTTATTAATTGATTATAGAAGATCTTTAAGGATGTAGGAAGTGGGCTTGGCTTAGCAGATTAACATTTACAATGAAGAACAAAGAAGAGAGATGTACATCTACTATTTGAGGTTTAGATAAAGCATTCATTGTTTCAAAAAAATGGGATATAACAAAGGAATAACGAATTGGTTTATAGTGATGAATCATTAGAATTATTCTAAACCATTTAGTGTGTAATAAGAATTTTTCAATTTACCGACAGTAACTTCAATTGCAGAAATGCAAAAAGGCCATCACAACTCCCATCATTGTACTCTTAAATCGAGAAGAATTATGGGTCCTCGGTATAAATACATCATTCAGACTCTTTCCTTCCTTTTGGTGTGAGGATGTGTCGTATACAATCCTAATTTTGGTTGCAAACTTGTTTGCAATTATAACTTCATGGTGAATAATACCTCTAGACATATCTTCTCGATGGTTCATCTCTAGACATATCTTCTCCATGTTAGATTGTAACTGATTGCGAATCGTTTCGTCACATTTGAGAAGTAAACATTCATCGTTCTGAAGTCGTTTAATTAAAGATCTTAGGCGACCAAAATAATTTCTGTATTCATTATTATTACTATATTGTATTGTTGTTATCAATAAAAATTTCGACTTGTGTCTAATTGAATAACTCTCGTCAGAAATAACAAAAACTTCTTCATAATTCACAACCACTAACTACAAGTAGTGGTATTTGTTATAAATTAATTGTGTTGGCGTGAGGGTGTTTTGAATTGGTTCCTCCTTTTTATTTCACCTTGTTTTAGGCATTTAAGGATTAACTCTGAATCATTTTTATAAATAATTAGAGTTATAACAGTTCCCTTACCTTCGTTTATTAGGTTTAAAATACCTTTTTCATCATCGATTATTTTGGTCTGTTTCTTTTTTTCTTGTTTCTTTGATGATGCACCTATTGAATATTCTCGATCCATTTTGCATTAACAGTCGAGAGTGCTAATATAGTTGCAGACATCCCGGCTTGTGGCACCAAATATGTTGTACACTGTATTTTTATTTTTTTGTGGAGAGAGTTATTTGGTTAGGCACAATCGAAACTTTTATGGTGAATTAATAGATAGGATTCATTCAGGGTCTTTCATGATGTCAAAGGATCGACTTTTTGTAAATTCTTTGTTTCTTCAGATCAACTTCGCTAAGAATTGTCTTGGCCTAACTACTTACAATATTTTCTATTTCCCCTTTTGTGGATATAATCTGTCTAGCATATACTCTTTATTTTTTATGATAATTTCAATACCGGACTGTTGGAGATTTTTACGAGATATAATTTGCTTTTAGAAGAAGTTCCTATTAACCAGGTCCAGCAAATTTCACTTTCTCTTGTGCAATCTCTTGTATATTTAATCGACTTGTTGATTTCTTTGATATACAATTTTCTTGGGCACCACTGTCGGACAAAAAAGATTGATCTTACTTATTCCATACATAACCAAATTGATCATTCCGACCTCTTTACAAAGGAACAAAGCTTCCCTATCATTTCGTGTTCATTGTTTTGTTATTGTTTGTGCTTGATGATTGTCTTTGTTGAATTTATCCTTTCTTTGATTGTTTCCGAAATTTTCTTGTATTTGACGTAGAGCTTAGCTATATTTTGCAGTGGAAGTACATCCGTTTTCTCCCATTTCAAATGGTTGTTGTTTGTTCTGCTTGTAAACATTTCATACAGGCATTAATTTCATTGAATTGCTGTATATACACTTAGTTACTTAGTGTACCAATGGTCCTTATTATTACAAAAGGTGCAGAATTTAGTTTTGTTAATCTTTTTTGATTTTGCATTTACATTATGTACTGCTAGTATCGTTATGACTAAAGTTGAGATTTCTTCTGTAATATTGTGGATTAATCTTAAATTATTCTTTGTTTTTTTTTTTTTCACAATTTTGAAAGATTGGCTCCTTGCGACTTCATTTCCTAAAATCAGTAATTCACTGGAAATTGGAATTGTCTTAGCTTGGCTACTCATCATACCTCTTGTTCTTTTTGTTGATATATTCTTTCCCGGAATCCAAGCTAGCAATTTATTTTTAATAATAATTTCCATACTGTATTGTTCAAGATTTTCATTCATTCTCGAGCTGTTGAAATATTCTTTTAACTTTCCATTCTCGTCATCTTGATGGAATGTAACTCACTTTGATAGTGTGAGACTGTCCAAAATTTTCAATAAACTTTTCGTATGGCATCATAATTTTCTGGAGTTTTATTATAACTTTTGTGAGATTATACCTCATAGCCAACAAGCAATTAAGTAATTCAGTCTTTGTATATCTGATATATTCTGTAAATAAGTGTAGTTTTGAAATTACTCCAGAATCCTCTCCACAATTTTGGTTTCCACTAACGGTTGTGCAAGATAAACAGAATTTTTTTTTTTTTTTTTGATTCTTGCTAATAAATTAATTTCTTTTTCTTTGATTTGGATTTTCAATTCAGAGTTATTTTTTGTACATGAAATAATATATGAAATAATAAATAATGAGATATTTTTGTTAATCTAAAAAATTCTAATACTTGTTTAATTAATGTCTGCAACGAATTGAAAAGGTTCTGTAAATGATTGATGTATAAAAATTATCTATGAAATAGTTTTTAATAGTCCTTCCATCTTTTTCTAAACATAAGCAAATCTGGCAACATATATTAGCTAAAGTAGTATTAGCTAATTGCCATTACATATACAAGTGAAAAGCGCAATTGTCCATTAAGTCGAGGATACAAAAACAACTTTATAAGGCAAGAAAAGTTAAGGATCTTGTTTATATGTTAAATGACAAAGATATTTCAAGTCGAAACAAAATCAATAATTCGAGTATCTCATTTTGAACTGTGTCATGCTTTTTTGTTGGCTTTTAACACAAATAATCAACTTTTTTTTTCAAACTTTGTATGTTTGTTATGGATGCATTCAAATTAGTATCACTTCTCTTCCATATTATACATTGTAATGCTTAAAAGATAGAAAATGAAAATTAAAAAAATTGAAAATATTCGTATAAATGAAAAAATTTATTGAAATATTCCAGTGCATAGAAGAAAAATTAACATTTTTGCTTTATGATTTATTTTCTTGCATAAATCATTCTAATTAATAAACAGCACATTCAATTGGATTAATTAACTTTGTTAGATTCAACTAATACAAAAAAAAAAAAAATATAAATAGGAAATTTTAGTGGAATATTTTAGGGAATTGTTATTATTTTTTCTTTTTTTTATGAACGGAAATATTTCAGAATATTTCGTTCTAATTAATCCATTAATGACATTATTATTTCTTTCGGTACAATCGGATAACTTGCTGCACTTGCTATGCCGCACATATTCTTTTTATTTCTTGCTAACCGGAAATAACCGTTCTCACCCCAATCTTTGCCCCAGCTAAAATATAAACCGTAATTAGCAATTAGTAATTAATGGCTTATATAGTCTTTAATAATGATTACTTTTTTACTGACATAAAGTTTCTACTTATTTATAGTTAATATTTTCCCTTGCAAACTTTAATTATTCCAACTTTTTTAAAATAGAAGCAATTGAGGATTGTAATCATCCGAACTTCATTTTTAAGAAGCATTGAATTTGAGAATATTACATTCATGAAGGACTAATTTCATACCTGTTTTTAACAATCCAATAATCGAGATTTTTTCCTCGTACTTCTTCAGTTCCGTAACCTACCACTAGAACACCATGATCTAATTCTTCGGATGAGCAATTAGCACGTGTGAAAATACCTAAATTCTTTGCTATCTAATGAAACGATGGTATGAATAACATGAAACTTTGATATGAAAGGAATATGTCTCGAAAAATGGTAGTAAAATTTGTTGTAAATTTGATTGTAATTAACCTTCATCATATAAACTTAAATATCTCGCATTAATTGCAACTGATATTGGTCCAATATTTGCTACTGCTTCTTGAAGCTGCATTTCGTCACCTTCCGGTAAGTCAACTTTACCGTTATCAGTTGACAGTCGAGTTCGATTTGAATAACGACATGGACCTTCTTTTGCTTCATATGGATATGATGATTCCGAATCGATTCCACCATTTCCTTTTATATAATCAAATGCCTACAATAAATTCTAATAAATTTGAATTATTTTGTTGACACTTAATTAAATGAGCAATTAGTTAGAATTTTTCTTTTTTTTGTGTGTTTGTTGTATCTTTTAATTTTTTAATTTTGTTTGTTGTATCTTTTAATTGCTTTGCTTTATTTATTCTCATACATTAATCAAGCAATCATTATCTTAAAATTTTTACAATATTTGAATTCTAAATATATATATTATTCTTGTTACTATTGCTTGTTATTATTATTATTTTTTTCACTACTATTTCTACTATTAGTTCACTAACTAAAAAGTTAAATTAATTTATTATCATATATTCATTAGTTTTTTTGTGTTTTTTTTTTTTGAGTAATTAGTTAAATTTTTTGAATTATCAAAATTCAATTCATAAAATTTATGGTTAAAACAATCAAAGATTAGGTACATACATAATCCATAAGCCCTCCATCGCATCCGGCATTACCGTAATTATAGCTACAATCCAATAAATTTTGCTCAGAAAGTGAAACCAAACGACCTGTTCGTCGATAATGTTGTCCTTCCAGTGCTCCTGTAGAGCTGAATGCCCAACAACTTCCACATGCACCCTAGAAATCTTTTAAAATACTTTGAAACATAAGACGTATCCGTCTAAAATATGCTTTAATATTACAATTTTTGTTTGTTTGTTTATTTATTTATTTTTTACTTTTTTTTTTTAAATAACTAGATTATTTCTTCAAACAAAGAATTTGGGATGAAAAACCTGATTTTTCACTGGTGTTACAGCACCCTTAGTACGCCAATCAACTTTTTCCGGTAGTCGATGATAAGCTGACATTATCATCACATTTTTTTTTCCAAATAATAATTGTTTTTTCTCATATCGATAACCGTTCACTTTTTTTGTTTCTTCAGGTAACTTAAAATTTATTTGCTGACTAATTTATAAAATATTTTCTCACAAAATTTCATTCTTGAAAGAAAACAAAGAAAAAAAAAGCACTGCATAAATTTACAAATTGTAGAATATAAAATTGAAAAATAATTGATTAATATGGTTAGGAATTTATGAAAAATGAAAAAAAAAAATGGAAATATTATAAATTTTTTTCAATTATTTTTGATCTCATTAACAAAATAGAATGAATTATTATTAGTTTCTTCAATAATTGATTATGTTGATTTTTTGCATATAATCAGATTAAACAGCAAGTCTGTAATTGAAGAAAACTTTAGGACAGTACTTGGAATTGTATTATTATAATTAAAATTATATTAATTAATTTTTTTTTTTTTTTTTGCTTTTTCTAGATGTATTTCGTTTTGTATATTTAAGTAATACTTATGAATGGAAGATTTTTGATACAGTAATAATAAAATTAGATTAATTAAGAATTAAAAAAGAATTATAGCAAATAACCATATCGGCGAACTTATTGATTCCCATTTTGTATGTTTCTTCACCACGTTCGTAACGTTCGTTATGTTGGCGAATTTTTTCAACATTTTGGAGAAATGTCGTATATCGACGATATTCAAAGTTTGACTTACTATTAGGTTTATCTTCAATAAAAGAAAAAAAAAATAATTAATATAACTTTTCTAACTTTCAAATAACTCTCAAAAAAATAATTAATTAATTGTTTTATCACAATATTTTTGTAACCTTAAAATTATTCCAATTTTATTACTTTATTATAATTATTAAAAAATTATTTCAATTTTATTACTTTATTATAATTATTAAAAAATTATTTCAATTTTATTACTTTATTATAATTATTAAAAAATTATTTCAATTTTATTACTTTATTATAATTATTAAAAAATTATTTCAATTTTATTACTTTATTATAATTATAAAACGATATGATATAACAATGAGAGAATAAATTATTTATAAATCAATTTTGTTTTTTTTTTTTTTGAATAAATCAATGATAATAATTAATAAATTGTTTTGTCACAATGTTTTTGTAACCTTAAAATTATTTCAATTTTATTACTTTATTATAATTATTAAAAAATTATTTCAATGTTATTACTTCAGCATAATTATAAAAAGATACGATATAATAATGAGAGAATAAATTAATTATAAATCAATTTTGTTTTTTTTTTTGAATAAATCAATGATAATAATTAATAAATTGTTTTATCACAATATTTTTGTAACCTTAAAATTATTTCAGTTTTATTACTTTAGCATAATTATTATGAGCAAAAAATATAAAATTTTAAAGTTAAAAATTTTTTAACTTCAATCAATTTCATTAAATTAGTGAATGATTTTGCTGTTAAAAATATTTCATTTCACTTTCCTAAATAATTTTAATTAGTTGTACTTATATTGAGCATTGTTAAGTAAATTAATTGTACATTACTTTAGTGCACATTAAGTTTTTATATTTTACAGATTCTTCTATTAAATATGTCAAATCGTAATGGTACTTTTTGAAAAACGTAACTTGCATTTCAATTTTTTTTTTTTAGCAAAATTTTATAAACTTACTGAAATATTGTTTGTATAGTGCATAAGCTTCGTGTTTCTTAATTTGATCAATTTCAATTTTTTGATCGGTTATAACATTAGTGCTAAAAAAAGATATAAAAAAAAAATAAAATAAATTAATTTATTGTTCATGCATGAGAAATTAATTAGTAGGAAATAATATTATTTAACATTTCATGTATGTGCTAAGAGAAGATATAAAGAAAAAAAGATAATTAATTAGCACTAATAATTAATTAGCAGTTAGTTTTAAATCTATTTTAAAAAAAAATCAAATCAAATAAATCCATAGCTTTTTCAAATTTTATCATTATCACATGATATTTCTAATCTCATTTCCATTTCTAATGAAATGAAATAAGAAAGTATAATATACCGTATTTCCGGTTTAATAATTGCCGGAATAGCAGCAATGGAAAAAAATGTGGTAACAGAGAGAATAGAAAGAGAATATTTCATCGTAACAATAAACAAAAGCTAATACTAATTTTCCAGCACTTTATTATCATTTAAATGCTATCAGTAAGTAGTAATATTAGCAAATATGTCTACTTAATTTTCTCGAAAAATTATTATTTGAAGAAAAGATTATAAAATAATAAATAATTTAATATCAATGATAAATAATTCATATCGTTTCACAAACACATTAATTTCTCTTTTTTTTTTTGCTGATAAGAATATTTCCTAATTTTCTTTTTTATGCAAATTTTCTTTTTTTTCGTTGACATTTTTCAACAAAGAGATAAATGATTTTTGTTTTTGTTTTTATTTTTGTTTTTGTTTTTTTTTTTTATAATTTAACTTTTTTCTGATATTAGCAAAATGCATAATAGTTTATCGAATGCTATTTGGTGCATACAACAAATGAAAATAAACAACAAATTTCATTCATATTTTTTTTTTTTTTTGGTAGATTATTTTAAAATTAATTTTTAGTTATATTTAACAAAGATAATTATTATTGTATGGTTTTTAGAATGTTTAAATAGGAAATAAAATATTATAAATAAAAATTATTGCACAAATTTTATATGAATATTATATTTTTAAAAAAAAAATAATACTTTTGTGATTTCAACATATCAATTAATAAAACTTTTTGTTTGATAAACATTAATTCTAAAATATTGTCAAGGAATTATAAATGCTATGTTTATTTAATTCTCCTAAAAATTCTAATGAAAAATTATCAGATAAAACAGAACTTTCTTCTTCTTCCTTTTTTTTTTTTTTTCACTGATAAATAATTTGCTCATTTGTTTAACTTTCTAGCGAACATTTCAATTTTTCAGATAAGATGTCTCTCTTATGATAATAATTACAATTTTTTTTACTTTTCAATATTCTAAATGAGAATATTTTTTAATAAGTAAAATGGTGGTACCAACTCATTATGGTAATACAAATTAATATTTCACATATTAATTAAAAAATAACAAAATGAATAACAACAAAAGTCTGTCTTAATATCCAATAAAATAAATAAGTAAATAAATAAATTCTTATTATATTTTTTTCGAAAATTTTTTCATTTTAATTAATTAACTAACTACGTAATAATTAATGATCAGATAGTCACTACAAAATTTCCCAGAATTCTACCATAATTTACAATTTAAAAATTTTTAGTAATTGATGACTATTTTTGATAAATTATTATATACATAAACAAAAAGATATATAGTAACAAACAGAAAATGAAAGATTGAATATCAAATTTTGGTATATATTAGTTTTTTTTTTTTTTTTTTCATCCATGTAGTTTAAAGCAGATGAAAATTTTAATTCTAAAATCTTGTTAATCATCTTAAATATTGGTAAATAAATACTTTACTTAATTTATTTTGAAAAAAAGCAAATAAATTTTATGGGTATTTAAAGAAATATATTTACACTTATTATTATTTATAATTATTTACCAACAATAATTTAGTATTATTATCTGCTAAAATTTCTACGGGAATATATTAATAGAATAGCTTCCAATAGAAATTAAAAATTAATATATTAATAGAAATTAAAAAATAACTTCCAAAAGGTCAAAAAGTGAAATTGACCCTTGCTATTTCTTTCATAATGTTACAAGAAATTATCAAACATAGCATAGCTTTAATCCTTTTCAAAGTTTTGGTTAATTTTTTCTTCATTAGATTAAAAATTTAAAGTAGGTAATATTATCATTGAATTTATGCATTTATTAATTCTGATCATATAAATTAATTGTATTGATAAATAGAATTTTTTTTTTTTGTTAATTTTTCTGTTTTTTTTTTTGTAATTTTCTGTTAATATAACATTTTAAAGGTTTTGTTGGGTAATTTAATTAAATTTATTTTATAATTAATATATTCCAATGTTTAACATTATCGATACAATTTTTATTAAATATTTAATTTAATTAAATAATCAGATTTTAATTTTATAGATACAATTTTTATTAAATACTTAATTTAATTAAATAATCAAATTTTTGCTATTCAGATTTTAATAATTCATTGCCTCACTCAGTAATGATAATATCATATCATCAACTATTAGAAATAATATTATTCTGAATGGATACACACTTTAAACTATTTTCACATCAGATTTTAAAAATGTACTTTTGATCTTTTTTAAATCCTTTTATTTCAAATTTTATTTTAAATTGATAGTTCATTAGTTAGTGTAACCTAAAATTTTTGTTTTCAGTTTGGAAATGTTATCATTATTCTTTTCCATAAACAAACCACAAATTATGGAAATTTTCCGGAACGATCCATAATTCTCATCATTCCATTTTTTCGATTTGCAATGCAAAAATTGAAACATAAATAATTGAATTAAACTATAAACATTGAAAAATCATTTTAATGTTACTTGGAAATATTTTTCAGACGACAATAAATCAATCATTTAGTGATAAAAGTGTTAATCATTTGAGAATTATCATCTATTATCATCCATTCATAGAAATAAATCAAAGAGTCGGATAAAAAAAAAAAAAAAAACTTTTGCCTACATAAAGATATTATTTTGTTGATGAAAATAATTGCATTCCTCAGTTTTTCTAATATTATACAATAATTTCAATCAGTGATAATCTTTAATTCATTAAAACAAAGACTAGACTCAAACCTAATTTACAAATTCATTAAAAAAATAAATTCATTAAAACTTAATTCATTAAAATAAAGACTAGACTCAAACCTAATTTAAATAATTTACAAACTACTTAAATCAAACTTTAATTCACGATATTTTTTAAGAGAAATGGATGATCTATTTCAAAATAACAAAAAATGTTTCCTTTTTTTTTCTTTTTAATTTTAATCAATAATAATTGCTGAATTAATGATTAAAATATTTATCAATGCTTATCATTTATATCATTCGTATACAGTGACATTATCAGTGATAATCTAATATAAATAGTAATTAATTTGATTAATTAATAAAAGTGTTTTTGTGAGCATTACGACAAAATATTGCTGTAATTTCTTGTTTATAATGATTTTATAAGTATTTTTGCAACCATTATAAAATTTTCCTATTAATTAAAGTTATTAAATTTCTTTTTCTTTTTAATTTGACAAAATGATAGTAAAAATTTCTGATTAAATAAATCAAGGTTATTTTAATACGAACTGCTCCGTAAGTAATATCAATAAGATAACAAAACAATTGAAATTAGTATAAATAGTGGAATATTCTCTTGAAACTTATAAATACAATTAAACAGAAAAGGGATAATAAAGTAAAAATCATTTTATTCGATATAATATATACATATGGAATAAAATCAGAAATCAGAATTAATAAATTACATTTTATTTCAATATAATTTAAGCTTAATCGAAGTGAATTAAATGGATTTAATACAAAGTTAATCAAAAATTAATCAAAAATTGAAAAAGTTCAAAGAAGTTGTGCAATCACTAGATTAATTAATTTTTTAATTTAATTAATTTAATTTTTACATGTAAATTTCATTGATACTTCATTATTGACTAGCTTTTCATGATTAAAAGAAGGAATAAGAATTAAATTTTATCGGTGTATTAGTAAAAACTTTTAAGAAATAAAATATATGTTTCTAATATTTAACACTAATAGTAGCAATAATACATACTTATTAAAAAAAAAAATTTAATTTGAATTTAATTATGATTCACGTGTGAAGAAAAATGAGATTTAAATTATAATTAATTAAATAACATTTTGCTTCAGTATAATTTAGACATGATCAGTGTGCATTAGATAGATTTATACGAAATTGATTAGAAATTAATCAATTAAGATTGAAATCTACAGTGAATTTTATCAAAGTTTGGGTATTGAAATTTAAATCATAATTAATCAGCACCGATATTTAACTGAAAATTTATATTTTATTTTGTGTTGAAGACAGATTATCAAATATTATGTGCAGTAGAAGTGAATGAAAAGCATATGACAAATAATTATTAACTAAAAAAATGATATCGAATCATTTCCACATGTCACTTCAATAATTTGTACCTGAAAAATTTTTTTTAATTTGAAAAAAAAAAAAAGAAACTTTCGAAAGTATTTTTGAAAATTTTTTAAGAACATATTACCAAAGATATTTCTTCTCTTTTATATCATATAGATTTACTTTATTAAGAAATAATGAAAGAAATAAACAAGTATAATAATTTGTAATTTTAAATTATTAAAATATCTATTACTAAATTAGCAAACATAAAAAAAGAAAAAAACAGCAACAAAAAATTAATTAAGAAAAAATTGGTTCATTTATTTATTTTTTTTGATTTATTAGTAATACTTTTATTGTAAACATAAATTATAATTGTATCAATTTTATGTTTTATATAAGAAAACAAAAAAAAAAAATGAACTTACTTCATCTAATAAACGTACAGCAGTAGCAGCTAACGTTCTTAAATCTGAACATTTATCCGGTCCATATCTGATCCGGAAACGTATACTCAAATAGCCGTCATTATTACTGTAATTAAAATATTTCCATTTAATTTTCCACATTTTATTCTCTTTTATTTGTAGTTTATTTGACAGAAATTTAAGATGAGTTATCGATCGTAAAAAAATATAAAATTTAATATAATTTTCTAAATCATTTCTACTAAATATAACTAATAAGTGAGAAATGTTTTATTTTCATGAAGGAAAGGTAGGTAATTATGGTAATTTAATTATGATACTTTTACAGATTAAATAACTATTTGTTGTTTTAACTTCGAAAATTTTTATCATTATTTTGATTTTTTTTTGCAGTAGATATGATGTATTTTTAATTTTAACTTTATTCTTTCAATTTTTTTTTTTTTTTTTGATAATTTATTTAACCAACTATCGTTGTACTTTTTTAAAATAGTTTAATTAGTTTTTGATGTTTTTAACTAGTCGAACTATTACTGTAAATGTAAAAATATTATTTATATTTCTCTTATATGCTACTATAATAATAATATAATAGTAACAATTACTATTGTTGTTATTATTACTAATTATTGTTATTGTTATTAAGTTATTAATTTATTGTTATTCATACTTTTATTCAAAAAAAAAAAATATATATAATAACTTACTAAATTTGTCCACATTCCAATACACTTTCATCTGTACGTAATTGATTACGTAAAATTTGTACAATCTAAAAAAAAATGAAATTGAAAAATTGTTACACAATTATATTATAAATTTTTATTAAAGCTTTTTTTTTAAAAAAAAAATGAATTAATTTCATCAAACTATTTTGTATTTTTTATTGCATTAAAACTGTTTAAACAAATGAAATTTTCTGATTTATATTTAACGAGAATTTTCCATCAGTATTAATCTATCCACTGAAATGATTATTTCGATAATTATATTCCAATTTTATGCATCACAAATTCCAATTATAAATAAAATACCAATAATGAGTACTTTATTATAAATTCCTGTTATACGTTGTTGATTCTGAATTTCCGCTGCATATGGATACAAACTTTTTAATGAAATTGTTAACATATCCATTTTAGAATAACCTAAAATTATTTCATCAGTTGTTGTTTACTTACAAATAAGTTTGTTTTTTTTTTACTTATAATTTTGATAAAGTTCTAAAAATTTACTTATCTTTATGCTATTTGGAAAAATTAATACATAACTTTTATTTTTCTCCGCAAAAAATGGATAAAAAACAACGAATGATAATACAATATATTTGTTCTATTATATTACTAATATTACTTTATTTTATAAAATTACTTTTCATAATGTCAGTACAATGTAAATTAATAAAAAAAATTTATTTGGAATAATTTTTTTGATGAAAATTGCTTCAAAAATATTTCTCGTTTTTGCATAGAAAATCTAGAAAATGCTGCAAGTTTTAATTAATGAAGTGGCATAAAAGGTATTTTATCATAGCATATCGGAATTTATTGCTCTTAAGATTTTGCATAAATAAATAAATAAATAAAGATAGATGAATTTTAATAAAGTTTACTTATGTAATACCATTTGATAGATGTTTGATTCCAGAAATATCCTGAAAAAAAAAAAAAGAAAAAAGAACAAAAAACAAATAAAATCTCTTATTTTTCCGTATTGAATAACATCATTAATTAATTTTATGCTAATTTTTGTAATTTATATCTAAGTTTAACAAACGAATTTATTCATCAGTTAATGGATTTAATTCAGAAGGAAATACCAAAACAAAAGCAAAAAGAATTTAAAAGAATTTGCAGTGCTATTATTCTTATCCAACAATTGGAAATGTTAGATATTGTAATTAAATTACTCTGTAAATGCAATAAAATATATTTATTACTCAGATTATTACCTGTGAAATTATTATTGATATTACACGGAAGTGAGATATTAAAAGGTAAAATAAATCATATCCCAAGAGATGGTCAATATTTAGGTAAAACATTAGTGTCACATAATAGAAGTAAGCTTTTATATATCTTTTGGTGCTCAAAATAATTAATAAAATAGTTGCTAGCAAAAATGATTGATAGAAAAATGATTTGAGATTTCAAGAAAAAGTTTGATAAATCTCTCTTATCACAGTACTGAGCGAATGATAGAATTTCTAAGACATTAAATGAACACTTTTTAGTATCTGAACAATACCATTTTCATATAATACTTAATTTAATTAATTCAATTTGCATTAAACGATCTACTAACATCTATCTAATCACTTTTAGCAAATTGAATTTTTACTTATCTAACAAATGAGATCGATGATTATTTCATTTTTATCATCTTGTGATATGATAATGCTAGCAATCTTTATACCAAATGCTTATTTAATTAATTAATCAATTAATTAAATTGGCCATTTAAATTGAATCAATGATAAGCTCGATTAGTTGATATCGATTATTTGATATTAAAATTACAAATTTAAATTAACCTTATTTGCTATGATGACAGAAAATAAGTATTGTACAAAGCATACCACAAATACTAATGGCCTCATAATAGTTGAACCGTAATAGTTGGATCTAAAATAAAAATGAATTTTTTTAAACTTTGTAAACTAAAATTGAACTATAAATTTATTTTGTTATATGATACTTTATTTTATTATATGATTTATAATTATTATATAATAATCATTAATTTTGCAATTAGTCGTATCTAAAAATTTCTGCACAAATGGTAAAATGGATTAATTATAGTTTTATTTTATTGTATGAATGCTTATTTTTTATCCTAATATTATTGCAATTAGCTTATCAATTTAAATAAACTAAAAAATTAATTATTTTTCAGCAATTACTATTACTCTGTAAGATATATTATGAATGGTATATAAAATTAAATAATATTTTAATTATTGGTAAAAAATTATAATTGAAACTAGTTTATAAAATTGACAACTGAATGAAATGGTCTTGTATATTATTAACAAAAATTTGACTATTAAATAATTTTACTTTGATAAATTGAAAATGTTTAACAGAATTGTTTTATTAATACCATTTATAAATATAAATAGATGAAGAATCACTGATGGAAGAAATTGCTGTCAAATTTTAATACTTTATCACTAATTAATGAAATTAAATTTTAATGAAAAAGAAATGTAACACATAGTTTTAAATTTATAAAGAAAAAAAGTAATGAAAAAGCGAACGTTTACTATTATTATTATTATTTTTTTCTTTTTATAAAACATATATTTCTTTTCTTTCTTTCTTGAATAACATAAAATAATAACTTACATTTTTATTTCATTTCATTTTTTTTTTTTTTTTTTGCTTCGGCAAATTTTTGCTTGATGAATAATTAAAAATTTCTGAACATTTGTTTAACTGTTAATTTCAAATATTTTGCTTAAAAGAAAAATTCAACCAATAATTTTTTACCTTTATAAATTCCAATAGAAAATAGTGCAAACTTACACTTTATGCTGTTGAGAATGAAAGAAAGAAAAAGTGAGTTTCGTTCATAATTATTAATTTTTAATTTTTTCTTTTTGTTTAAAAAGGCATTTGAATTTCAATGATTGGAAATTGAAAAAAGGTCGATCAAAAGATCACAAAAAAAAAAAGGTTTTTTAATAAAAGATCATTTTTTTTTGTTGGGATTGTTTGATAAATGTTATGATTTAATAGACAATAAATTAAAATTGATCATTTTAAAGAAAGGAATAATTTGACATTCTTCATTTCTCTTACACAAAGAAATAATTTTCTACTATTTAATATGAGTGGTTGGTTAAATTAGAATAAAATATTACTGCAAACATCGCAAATTATCTTATCAATAGCTGAATTGATAATATTAAATCAGTAATGTTATCAGTAACTGAATTGATAATAATATTAAAATAATACCATCCGGTACTAAAATATAATTTCACCTGATGAAATTTGAATACCATTTCTCGCTTAAAATTGCACATCATCAAATCAATTTCTGTGATTTTTTTTTTCACTTTTACCAATGATAAATATTAAAATTCTGATTATTAAAGTTTAAATCAAGAGTTTAAAGTTAATCAATTTTTTTGTGTCAATATTATCTAGCAAATTTTTTTAAAGTACTGTTATAGTAAACAGTTATTAAATATCTGATTATCAATATGATATCACATTATAGTGATAATGTAAGCTTAGTATGACATTGAAAAACTAGCAGAAATTACATTGAAAATATAAAAATAACACTGAAAGTGCTCTTGCATATCATGTTAAGCCAACAGTGACAAAAAATTAAACTTTTGTTTTGTAAAGTTATTTCCAAAATTCATTTAAAGTTTGAAAATTCACTTTGCGCCTCAGATCACTTTACATTAACACTTAACCAAATCTATCATAAAAGATTAATTTGAATTACATTAAAAAAATAAAAAATATTCGAAATTTCCTAACAATAAATCAATGTTCCGATTTACTATCCAATTTCAAATACTTTGAATGACTAAATAAAATACAAAATGATACCCTAATCTAATCTATATCGTAAGGATGAAAACTTGTTGAACTTAAAAAGCATAACTTTTACAAATTCATGGAAAAAAGAATCGTGTTAGTTTCTATCAAAGATTTTCTCTTAATTCTTACCAAAACAGAACAAGGAAAAAAAAAAGTTTTCACTTTATTGTCAAGTTTTTTTACAATTAAAAAAAGTAATAAATAAATTATTATCAGTGGTGAAAAAGTAATATTTATGCGTTCTACGAACTTTGTTCTTCCTTTTCCACTTATTTTTTTGGAAATTAGAGCAAAAGGATTCCAGTGTCGAAGTATAAAAATAATTATTTTCAACATTATAATTAATTCATTCTCTTTATTTTCAGCTTTTAAGAAAATGTTTTTTAGATAGTATATCAGTGAACATTTTGTGCGCCGATTTTTCTTGCCAGACCTTTCAATGTTATTATTGTTAAATAAAGTCATTACACTTATTACCCTTAGTAATAAAACTTTAGAAAATATAAATTATAAAAAAATTATTTTTTAAACTAAAAATTATTTTTAAACTCACTACAAACATACATCCATTTGCTTCAAAAGCTAATAAATGTACAATTGCACATTGTTAGGTTATTACTTTTGCTATTCCCAAAAAGTCAAACACTATTAACTACCAAGAAGTAACAGAGAAATTTCCCTAAGCTCAATTCAGAAAAAAAAAATAATAAATTTATTTCCAAAATTCAGATCGCAAAAAAAACTTCAGAGAAAATATACTACTGAATAGTTAAATCTTATTAATTCCGATCAAAATATAAACAATGATAAATTGTTGAATTCAGCATTATTTATGAAATATTACAAATGAATTAAACATTATTTATGCAAGTTCTTATCGAAATTATCTCCAAAGATTACTTTAAAATCTGAAATTGTTCCAGTATGTTTTCAATAGCTTAACTGTGTAGTAGAGGGGCGCATTTTTTCACTTTATTTTATCAACAATCACCAATGAAAGTTAAAAACACTGCCAAATAAATAATTGAAAAATACAAAAAAAAAAAAAAAAAATAGAAACGAAATGAAGAAATGAATTTTAAAGGAATTTCAAATGGTTAAAACAATTCCAAGTTGAAAAAGTGATCAGCAAAATGAAAACTTCAACCAAAAAAGGAAAATTTGAATACCATATTTCCTCATAAAATCAATAATCCAACAATTTTAAAATTTACTATTAACAAGATGGAAAACCAATTAAGGAAGACATAATAAAGATTAAGTAACGCAACCACGGTGCTTTTTTATCCTCCATCTTAATGAATTCTACGCTGAACAATTGCGCCAAGATAAGGAATATGGCTGTAAGGAATTATACTAAACCAAACTATGACGCTCCTACTTTACGTAAATATGATATATCAAGCCAACTTTTCAAATGTTACCATCCAGTTCGCTACAAGTAATTGTAAGATTTAAGAGCAGATGAGTTTTTTTTTTTCCGGAAAAATGTCAAGATTTTCAAACCGGATTCCAAAATCCTACCTATTAAGTTACAGTCGTAGGTAGACATACTTCTGAAGAAGAGTGTAGACTATCAGTCGGAGATTTCTTTGAGCAACTGATTTTTCAAAAAAAGATCGGCAAGTGAACTGAAATGTAAATGTATTAAATTGTGAATTTAAAAAGAAAAGGAATGGAAAGATATAGAAAGGAATAAATAATTCCGCGTTCTGAAATACTACAAATAGTAAAAGGATAGTATGTAAACACTGAGGAATGTAATAAAGCCACGAAGAAATTATTAAAATAACAAAAATTTGATTAAATCATTTCCAAAATTTAATTTTGTTAGAAATTTGCAAAAAAAAAAGAAAATTAAATAAATAGCCTACCTGAGAGTAAGTGTGAACGAAACAATTTATGTACATTCAATTGATATCCAATAGCGAATTATTTCAGCAAATTTTAATCTCAGTGATAAAATTAAAAACTGAGAATATTGTAGATAAAGATGAGAAACTGTTGTATGTTAGAAATTCGGAAAAGCTAACATTAAACATCAAAAAATTTTTGAAAAAAATTCACGAAACTTTATACTCTTCTCCTTGCTTCTTGTACCAATAACAGAATTATATTAAATGAATGAAAGCTCATTCAATTAATTTCAAATTAAGAAAACTATATTCTATTTACTTCATATACACATACTATTAGTTTTTAAATGAAAAGCATAAAAAATACGCATAGATTTCACTACCTGTTTCAAATGAATTTGAAGAAGTGTTGTTGACAACTGAAATGTCACAATTATTCAAAATGACAAAATAACGAATATCAATTAGCAAAAAGTCTTCCAGTCTAACTTATAAAAAAAAAAAAAAAAAAGAAAAAAAGTGTTATCTTAAAAATTTCAACGCATTATGGCGCCTACTAATTAAATGAATATTCAAATGGAAAACTTTCATTATTAATTTCAAAAAGAGCTCGCCGTAATAATATCACCCCGATAACAAGCAAATCAATTATAGGCTATGGCAAGAAAAGCACGATGAAGATAAATGACGACTATTGCGCCAAATGAAATGAGACAATTACAAAGAGCGCCACACCTCTTCCGCTTAAAGGGAGAATGAATGTTTTTCTTATCCACTCGATATTGTGTGCAGTTCTATCTATTACCAAAAAGGGAGAACGAGTATTTCTTATCCATTCTATATTGTATGCAGTTCTATCCATCAACAAAAAGGGAGAATGAATGTTTCCTATCCAGTCGATATTGTGTGCTCTTCTATCCATCACCAAATTCACTCATACAAATCTATTATAACTGAGTCAATTAATTGATATTTTCGTGCATAATTTATGCTTTTCCTATATTTTACTGTCATTTAAAAAAGAAAGAAAAAAATTGCTTATTTGAAATTTTAACTGCTAAATTCATTTTGTTAAAAAAAGAAAAAAAAAAGTTTATCCAAGTTTGAGACACGATGAGTCAGAGAAGCAGAGTTACTCCTCTCCGTCTCTGTCATAATCAGAAAGAAATTGTTGACAATATTTATAGTAGTAAGTGCTTCTTTTTTTTTCCCTCTCTCTCTCTCTTTTTTTTTTCACTTTTAATTAGATATAATTTTTGTTTCTTTTTTCACTTTTAATTAGATATAATTTTTGTTTCTTTTTTCACTTTTAATTAGATATAATTTTTGTTTCTTTTTTCACTTTTAATTAAATATAATTTTTGTTTCTTTTCTCTATCTAATCATTTCTATAAATATAAATGTGTTTATTTTCATTAATTAATTATATCAATCCTAGTAATCATTCAATAATTCAAAAATATTAATTTATTGTAGCAGTGAATGAATTTGAAACCGACACAATTATCATCAGTTCGCTGTTTTGGTGGATATCAACAAATTTTCTCACATTACAGGTTTATTATTTATTATTGATAAAATAGGATGATAAATGAATGAAAGTAAAATATTGAAAGTTATTTATTAATCCTAACCATGAACTTGGTCTAAATTCAGCAATTGATCCTTGTGAGTTTTGTGAAATACAGTTACTTTAGTTAAATTTATTGATGCTTTGATCAGCTGTACAAATTGCAATTAATCATTGGGAATTTGCATTTTATACGTGAAAATTAAAGGACGATTTCTTACCTATTTATAATATTTTGTTTAGGTATTTTGTTTCTAAGCTTAAAATCAATAGGAAGGATTAAGCCATCGGAAATTATTTATTTCAGTAAAGAAATGTACGATCAAATTTATTATAAGCCTCCTTTTTTCGAACCTTCATCAAACATATTCGCTTAGTTGATACTGTTGATTCAGTTTTTGCAGTAGCACGCTAAAATGTACGATGAAATTCGGTATTTACATACCAGATATAAAGCTTTGTGAAAAAGTACCGGTTCTGATGTACCTTTCAGGTAAGCCATTTCAGTAATATGCAAGGTGCACATATATATATAATCGTTAGCTTTTAAGTTTACAATATATCATTACTTCTAGAGATATGCTAACTTGGAGTTAATTTTAAGTTAGAAAATTCTAGTTGGATGAGGTTTAAGTTAGATAAGAGATGTTTAGTCATTTTAGATGGGATTAGAAGAAAAAAAAAGTCAAAATCTTATCAAGTAAGTGTAAATGAAAAAAGACTCTTAAAGTTAGAGATCAAAGCTTTATTTATTTTATTTTTTTTTTTATAAGTAAAAAAAAATGTTCCTCTTCCTCATAAATAGTTTTGCACCAGCTTTTTAACGTCCCATCAGTTTATTTCACAGGATGTAAAGTCATTCAGGTCTTACATGTACTGAAGCAAATTTTATCGAGAAAAGTGGCTTTCAGCGTGCCGCAGCCGTGCATAAAATGATAGTTGTAAATGCAGATACCAGTCCGAGAGGCGTCGACATTCCGGGTGATTCCGATTCTTGGGATTTTGGCAAAGGTTTTCATCATTGATTCAATTGCAGTAACAACCAGTAGTAAATAACGGATAATCTTCAAAAAAATTTGCAATCATATTCAGTTTTCTCCCTAATTTCATGATTTTTTGAAGTCGAGTGACTGACGAAGTCCGAATTGTCTTTAATTTAAAGCACCAAATTAGTCTATATTTATTTTTCTAACTTTTGAATCACAATACTATATAAGCTCTGAATTTTTATAGGTGCTGGCTTTTACGTTGATGCAACGGAACCAAAATGGTGTGAACATTATCGAATGTATACATATATCACAGATGAATTGCCTAATGTAGTGCGATCAAATTTTGCCGAATGTGACCCGCATCGATGGGGAATAATTGGGCATAGTATGGGCGGACATGGTGCAATAGTAATTGGTCTCAGAAATCCGGGAAAATTCTTAAGTATTTCAGCATTCGCCCCTATTTGTAATCCAATGAATTGCAATTGGGGAAGAAAGGTTTGTTATTAATATGAATAATATTTTGCTTGTAAGATATTGTCAATCATACGCAAACATGCAAACAGTGTAATGAAATATGTTTTCTTACCATGAAAAGAACAAAGAAATCTTAAAAAAAACAAAGAAAAAACAAAGAAAATCTTCTGCTGAATTATCAAGTTCCTATAAATTTAGCAAAAATTGGAAAAAAAGATCTGAAAATTATTTAAAATTTTTTTACTGTATTTTACTAATCATACAGTAAAGTTCTTTTGGATGTAATGACAATAGAATTTTTTGTTTCCTTCTTTCCTAAATCTTTCATATTTCCGAAGACTTTCTCAGTATTTCTGTTGGGAGTTTCCATGAGATATCTTTAGTTCACTACTAATTATAAATGGAAAATGATGAATAATGACAATAGTTCAGTTCATTTGTATTTGGTTTTATAAACTGACAGTGATAATTTTACAGGCATTCTTTGGATATCTCGGTCCGTTAGAAGAAAATTGGAAAGCTTACGATGCTGTGGAAGTAGTCAAAGCTTATAATGGAGAACCAAGAAAAATCTTAATCGATCAAGGCACAGCGGATAATTTTTTGGCGCAGGAACAATTATTACCACAAAAATTGGAAAACGTCAACAATGTTAAAGTATTCGTTAATTCATCAGTACCACACTTTTTAGATAACTGCTTCTTATTTTTGAAGAAGCTAATCACTTTATTTTAAGAAGCTAATTACATTCCTCTAAAGTTTAAAAAAGGAACATCTAATTTCGTTTTTATTTAAAGAGAAATATAGTAAGAATTAAATTACCCACAATACCAAGTCGAAAATATATGGTAGAAAGTGTGGTAGTTTAGAGTAATGTTAAACTCTGTACTGTATTTCAGTATACTATGTCTGTTTTTTTCCAGGTTCAAATCGAAATGAGATATCAGGAAGGTTATGATCACTCTTACTTCTTTATTGCATCATTTATTGATGATCACTTCGCATTTCACCACAAAATCCTCTCCAAACAAAGCAGTGAATTATAATTACAAGCAGTAACTTTAGGCTTAAGAATTTCCATTATTTCCATTAAAAAATTCCATTATTATTTCAATTACTTAAGAATTTCAATTAAAGAACCGTTACTTTGCGATAACTTTTTGTATTTATACCGAAATAGAGGAATGGTACAATTTTCAATCTTTCTAACATCGCATGTAATCACTTTGTATTCAAATTGTATATAATTTTTGCATAATTGTAATTGGAATGAAAAATTTGTCTTGTCATTGCGTGCTCTGTCATATTATACTTCAGGACATCTAATTTTCGGTGAATAGTTTTATATTCTACTCCAATTAAATTAATCAAAATTTTTTTCTTCGTCTGATATATTGAAAATCAAACTCTAATTAGTGTTGTTAGTGTGTTTTTTCATCATTAAGAGTAACACCAATCAACAATGATTAATACCACAATTATGCATAACCCAAGTAGCCTTAAACATTTTCATTTTCATGGAGTATATATAAGGGTTGAAGTGTTGCTGGAACTCCTTCTTTTTCCACTTTATATCTACAGTTAATTGCTGAACTAATAGTAGATTCGAAATGCTCGAAAAACCTAGAATTAGTAAGTTTGGGCTAGTCAGGGTTTCCTAAGCGGGATGATTGCTATTGCATAGTGACTTATTCTGCGTAGGGGCTTGGGCTGTGTTATTCGTCACGTAAGTCTACTTTTTGGTTGGGTTTTGGTGAAGACGTAATTTTGCGTTATTTGAAGATGGTGTCCTGTGAAGAGGAAGTGTTGCGAATTGGCCGAAAATTTGAACGAATGATACAAGGAACTAAGACGGTTAGTCATTTTATTGTATTTTGTTTCGAGCAAAATGAAAGTAATAAGTTTTTTCAAGCTTAAGTTGATATAACTTGTTTGATGCGGGGATTTTTACTGCTATTCGGTGTTTTATGATCGTTTGTTCTTAAGTGATTTTTTTTCCATAAAATTTTGGCTTA